GGTTTGAGATTGTCTGTCATCCAGATGCCGAGATCCTTCTGTATTTCTGTTTATTGCAGAGGGATTCCGTTCAGATGGTAGGGTTGCGCATCAAGGACCGCATTTCGATTTCCCAGGCGCAGCAGAGTGCATTTGTTTGCATGAATTCGGCCATCGAAACGGCTGACAAGAATGTGGCCACTTAAATAAACGGAAAGGATCCGCGAGACGATGCTCTCTCGTTGGGGAACGGACTAGGAGAGTCTATATGTACTGAGTTTATAATTAGTTAGGCGGGTCGTATATGCAACCAATAATGGCTTTTTGTCCGGGCGAGAGGATGAGATTAATCTCAATATAGCATTACGACTGGTTGATAAATCGACAACAGCAGTGACTACTATAGAATATTTGTTGTTGGAAATTGAATGTTTCAAAAATTTCCACTGAAGTTCTCAATCCGACTTTTGTAATGCTTAAATTTAACGTGGACCTGCAAGAAATTGAATGAAATTATGTCGGGCGTTGCTTTAACCCACCTGGCTCGATATCAAGGCAAATAAAAGAAGACAGGACATGGGAGAGGGCACAGGTAGCTGGCACAGCCGAAGCAGCTCCAGAGCGTGCTGCCACCTTTTACTCGGATCCCAGTTCAGGAAAGGCTCATAAAGGCCGCATTAAGAATGAGTCCTTGCAGCCCGAATCTCAGTCTGCCAGTCAGTCACACCACGCAACGAACAATGAGTTAATTACTAATCCTAGTTATTCCGTCACTTAGTAACACTTTTTAGCGCACCATGATAGCTTCACACCTGTCAAATTGTTTATAGGGACAAAAGTCTTTTGAGCCGTCGATTTCACCCTCTTTTCCACCCCTACCATCAGAAAACCGTCCGAGTCGATCATTTTTTAAAAGGCGTGGATGCAGTAGCTGACAGGAGAGGCGAACCCGTCTACGCGAGCTACGACACGACCTGGCCTATTTGGCCCACACACCCACACACCAGGATAGCCAAAAACCAAAGGTAAGAAGGAGCCGTCGCCGTCTGATCCCCAGTTAACCAGTCAGCTACTCAGCACGCAAAGCACACTGGGCCGATAACGTGGTCTGTTATAAAACGTCTGCTGGCAGCATTTTAAGCAAATGCTTTTAGTATGCTTTGATATTCTCAGGCTCTGATCGCACCTGCAGCGCAGAGACGACATGGAGAAGGGGCCGACGAATACAGTTCCTACACGAAAGGTGCTGGTTGCAAGCGCGTGGAATGTGCTGTTGAGCGTGACCATCTATGTTGTAGGTAATGATGTGGATAGATTCGAAAATGCAGTACAGCCAGTAGCGTTCTACCGCAGGTTTCCGTGGAGACACGGATGGCCTAATAGTCCCATGAGGTGTATAAATGTGAATGAACAGTGTGGACAGTTATGAACGTACGAAGACTGACGGAGCCCAAGAGTTGCTATACCAGTATACTTTATGTAACGGCGCTGGTATTGGTGATCACGCCGGTTGGAGGTGTGGGAGGGGTTGTTGACGGGTGTGCAAGATCTGCTAAGTGTAGCAGCATCGCGGTGAACTCCGTTTTCATGGAGACGCATGTGATCGATTAGGCCCATGCGGTAAGTGCATGCGTGAGGGCAGTGAGGACAGTCACTGCGGGCTCCGTTGCGTTTCGGTGCTCCATTTATTGGTTCGCCAGCCTGTGTGCTATAGGTCAGTCAGTATATTGGAATGAAAAATAGGCTTGCATCTTTGAACTTCCTATTTGTCACATCAAAATCTCAGGAATTATAAACAATTTTAACAAGTTTTCAGTCAGGAGAATATGGACCGTCACATGGGGCAGTGGTGTTTCAAGTTCAATTTGTCACATGCTTCACGCTGTGCTGTAACATGTGTATAGCAAGTCGGTGTTTGGATGTTTCCACAGATTGGGGCACAAAAAGTGACTGATCAGACCGATGCATGAGGTCAATGTACGATCACAGTAGGGGCCGGTTAGCTTCTAGTCTCTATTGCTGTTGAGTGTAGTAGGCATTGCATCAGTCAGTGTGTTCGAAGAATAATCAGGCTTACGCCTTTGAACTCCCTATTTGGCACATCAAAATCCCAAGAATTAGAAACAGCATAAAGCAATTATAGTCAGGT